TTTTTTGAATTTATTCTGTATACTAATTAAACAATTTTGATTTAGAAAATACCAAAAACTCAATCCTTTCTATGATCAAGATTTTTCTAATTCGTATTATATGAATTTATAGTTTATTTAGCAAATTGTGCAATGAAAATATATTTTACAAGAACGTCATTATAGGAATAAATCAAAATAAAAATGAAAAAAAAATAATCACGATTGCCAATAGTATAAAATTAAATTCTAAAGAATTGTTCATATATTTCAATTTTAATTTTTTACAATTAGTAAAATTATTTAATATATTCGGTCATTATTTCTTAAATGGTAAATTATATTAATTTGTAGAATAATTTATTTTTTATATATAACAGATTAATGCTTAAGAAAATATATATTGGCAAAGATTAATTCACCAACATGATTTTGCCTTTCTACCGAACCTGTTACGATTTTCTATAAATATTTTTGGATAAAAAGTGAATATTTATGAAAAAAAATTGATATTATGGTTAGAACTTAAAATATGTTGTAATATTTATCTTGACCAAAATATTACAACATGAATAACGAAAAATCAATCTTGTAATTTATTATAATGAATATCAATGAAAATATTGTAGATATTAATAAAATAATATTTATCTTGACCAAAATATTATCAACATGAATCACGAAAAATCAATATTGTAAGCAATTATAATGAAATCAATGAAAATATTGCAGATATTAATTAAATTATTTTAGGAAACAATATTTTTTATCATATTTGATTTGATCTTATTTGAAAACGTGCACATGGAAGCAATTAATGCATATACTTAAAAAGTTTCCAAAAATAGTATGCATTAAATGTTTCCTAAATTTTTTGCTACTCTTTTTAGTAAATGGTTAATCTTATATATATATCTATATATATACATTAGTCCAAAACATTATTTGGTAGTTGCTGCACAAGTATAACCAAGAATATATTGATTGCAACATTAATGTGCTATCATCCTTAGTGTTTTCTATTTGATCATGCTTTCACATATATTTTTTTTTCAATAAACATCCTACTGGAATCTGTTATCTTTACTTCTAAATGTTTGTTTCCCTTTTTATTGTTTTGAACTCCTCTGTTTCTCTGAGATTTCATGGAAGAGAATGGAACAAAAGCATCAAAATGCGGAAGAATGGTTTTGGTTGGTGATTTTTAATCACTGTTAGTTACTATCATTATACTCACATTACCAGGAATTCAACTTTCAATTCTTGCCCAACCTTTTCCTTTTTCCAAAAATAATTACAGTGGTATCATAAAACAATTCCTCGGATGACAAGAAGTATATTAACATTAAATTATATGAACACAATAACTGAGATATACAAAGTTACGGACCTACTGGACTTGGATACAATTTTAAATTGGGACTTATTTTAACCTCCCTTTGTCCGAGATCATTTTTAACCTATTATCAAGGTTTCGGTCAACTCTAGGACATCAATCTGTGTAGATTACAAACTCAAGTGTACTCTAGCACTTTTTTTGTATACCGGTCTTACAATATGCATTGTTGGCCGCTTTATGTGAATCTTTATCATCATTCTATTGTTGTACTCATCTCTAAATTTATGTCCAAGTATCTATGTATATATATAATATACTATATATATATAATATACTATATATATATAATATACTATATATATATATATATATAAGAGAATAACTATTTACTACAAATAGTAACAAAAAAAATCTGGGAACATTTAATTCATACCTTATTTGGAAACTTTCTAGCTATACGCATTAATTGCATGCATATACACATTTTCAAATCAGATATGATCAAAAAGATTCTTTCCTTAAATAATTTTATTAAAGCAATAATTTTATTGATTTCTATTATAATAAACTACAATTTGATTTTTTTGTGATTTATGTGGATAATATTTTAGTCAACATAAAACAAATTTTAAATCTTAAATATATATATATATATATATATATATAAATATATATATTTTTTCACAAATATTGACTTTCATCCTAAAATATTTATAAACAATTGTAAAATGTTAAATAATTTTCTCCTTCTAACTAATTAGACAAAATCAAGTTGATAAATCAATATTTGTCGATAATGTTTTTAAACCATTATTTAGTTATATAAAAACATGCACCTGTTAATCGGTAGGTGGTCTCGATCACTACCCAGTTAAAAGGCGATAAAGTGCAGTCTCAATTACCTCTTTTGTCGACTTCTCTTTGCTTCGTTTGTACAATTTTTTTAAATTAATATAATTTACCATTTAAGATAAATAATGATCACATTATTAAATAATTTTACTATCGACTAGATAATAAAATTAATATATATTAATTATTCTTTGAAATTTAAGCATGTGATTTATTTGTATATCATTGTCAACCATAATCATTTATTTTATCAATTTTTTTATTTTTTTTGATTTGTCTCTATAATGTATTGTAAAATATATTTTTGTTGCATTGTATGTTAAATAAACTGTAAAGCCTTAGGTTGAAAATTAAAAAAATCTCTTGATTATGTAAGAGATTTATTTTTTGGCAACTGCTAAATCAATTATTATTTTTTAATTATTATGAGAATATTGAATCTAAAAAACATGTGTGTGTATTTTGTAAACATTTATTCACAAAATTTTACTTTAACTTTTATTACATAAATTAATAAGAAGAAGACTATTTCCATAACTTTTATAAATAATGATAATGATATTATATGACAACAAATTTTATAATAAAATAATAATTGAGAATTATATGGAGACAAGAATAAGTAAAATTTTTATTTTTTCATATATCAATGAATATCTATTCTAAAATCAAATTTTTATTAGTATATCATGTCAGCGAAATAATAAATTCTAGCTAAAATAAACATCACTGATTAAAAGAGGTGAAAAATGGATGATCCAACTCTATTGTTTTTGTGCCTAAACGTACAAGCCCTATAAAAATGATTGTGTCTATGCCCTAGTTTGATTGGAAATTGGAAGGGAACTTCTATCCAGAAATGGATTTTTTTTTTTTCTTTTTCTTTTTGCCCTCACAAAGTATTCCAATGTGAAAAGATATATTTGGCTTTTGGATGAATACCTACTCCAGTATCCGTGCATCTTGATTGTTTGTGTCCAATAATCTTTTAAGATTGGCGAGTTCATTTTATTTCACCTTTTCTATCCATGTTTCCCTAAGAGTTCCTGAAATTTATGTATGTGAATAATAGGTCCTACGGAGAACACTAGCAACTTAGGATGGCAAATGTAGGGATACTAGCAAGATATTACTTATATGATATAAGTACCATAAACAATTTACAGAATGTAAATATGCGTTCCTATGATTAGGATTTCTCAAGTCTTCATATTGCGTAACACCATTTATTTTTCTTATGTCATCGTTCTCGTTTGTGATCTGAAGAACTAAGATAAGAAAAATGTTTTTAAGTGAAAAAAACTGAAAGAGCTTCGTGCATTTCTCATTAAAAAGTATGATTGTTAGCTTGCTGATATGTAGTGCTTTTCAATAATAAGTAGCATGCCTTGCTACCAAGTAAGCATAGTTTGCTGACTTTGTATAAGGAAATTGGGGAGAACATTAGAAGTTGATACTTGCTTTCACTGGTTCAGGTAGGCGTAGAAGGGCAATGTCTTTCCAACTTTTCATGTCCTGATATCTTTTTTTTTTTTCTTTTCTTTTTCTTTATCTTTTCTTATATACCAAAATATCTTTTTACTTCAATTTGTTCACAAAATAGCATCTGTAGCATCCTAAAGTTTGAAAGAATTATGAATGTGCTAAAAAAGAGCGGTAGATAATATTGCATAGATGTGCGTAGCTCTTGGATGTACTTTATTTAACTTGTGTGATTTGACCAGTTACTCATAATTAAGTTTCTTTTGAGTCTTGTTTTGGAGAGAACTGGATCCTTTCTTTAGTTGCTACAAGCAACCAACTTTTGTGAATGGGCTCTGAAGTTGATGTCCTTTATCATGTTGCATCTCGTGTTTGGTATGTAATGCAGAACTAATTAATACTTTTTGTTTGTTTGTTATACGGTTGCTAGAATGCATCAGGAGGAGCTGTTAACCGAGGTGTAGATTCACAGCTCCTACTGGCCTATCTCGATCTCAAAGCAAAACTAGAAAATTTGGTGAGTATTTCACTCATGCTGTCATCACCTATAAGATGTTTGTGTATGTGTCTTAAACTTAATCTATACTTGTTGGGGAAGTAAAACTTGGAAGCATTTACAAAACATATCCTTGAAGCTAGCTATATCATTATTACATTTTTATGGCTCTATTTTGTCGGTAGCCATACAAATTAAATAAATTGAAAAAAAAAAGCACTTAACAGTACAACTGGCTGGCTCTATGTTGAAGAAACATGGCTATATATATCTTTGTGACTCTTGGAATAGCAATAGTGCGACCTACTTTCTGCGACATGGGACTTAGAAGAGTTTTTTCCAGTGACATGCTAATGTATACATTTCTTACTTGCAGCACTCAAGAATCAGTCAAACAGCAAACACTATAAAGCCGTATTTGAACAACGAGGCCTCTATTAATGCATTGCAAGAGCTTGAGCTGATAGCAGCGAACATGATTGTGCCACATCCATCGATTCAGCCTCCACCTCAGCCACAGGTCCAGCCTCAGCCTCAGCCTCCACTGCTGCCCGAACAGTATCCCCAGCAGCCCCAGAACTGAAGAGTTTGCTGACTTGCAGAGGTCGTAAAAAACTACTTTAGCATCTGACTATTGGAGGAAGGTAAGAAATGTGGTCTCTCTAGAAGCTGTTAAAAATGTTTAGGATGAGTTTGCTGTTTTAGGAGGGGGGAACAGAACTCGAGATTTGTGGGGGGTGAAGACTAGAAATGTGAGCAGGGCCTACTCTATTTTCTGCTTTTAATGTTTTCTGTTCAGGTGAGATTTTTAGAGAGCATGATTTGGTTATGAATGTGTTTGATGTTAGCTGCTGTATTATGGAGGCAAATAATTATCATGACTCGGTAGAATTCTTATCAGCATGCAGGCATGTATGCGAAACCTGGATTTCTAGCATTTATTGATTGTGGATTAACTTCCAGAGTATATTTCTAATTCCAGTTTGATTTAGGCAAGTTCATTCATCGGGTTGCTCCCTGAACTAGGCATAGTTCATTTTTATGAAAGACGAGGTATATTTCAATTTCCACTTAGATTTCTTTTGTCCTTCAATAACTTGTAAAGTTCATCAACTTGTAAAGTGAGACTGAGACCCATGTAAGAGTTGAGTTGTTACTTGAAGAGCCAGTGGAGCAGATATATCAGCTCCGGTTACTTTAAACAGTCTGCTAACTTTATAGTCATTTGTTTGACGAACTTTGGAAAAGAAATGCTCTAAAGCAAAGTCCCCCACTAGATCTTTTCTTTGTTTCCTTGAGGTCTGCAACACAGCATGCACGCAATCCTAGATGGCAAGACCTCTTCTCGAAGTCCATTTATTTCGTGTGCTATGTTATAGAGCCAGACTGATTAGTGTCTTCTCCAACTATTTTCATCTTCCAATCTCTCCTTCCAAGCAAAGAGGCTGATTTCTTCTAACAAGTCAAGACTAGCCTTCATCAGTTACACTGTTCTCTTGATACCTCTCTCTCTCTCAAACCAAGGCTAATCATTTTATTTCCAACTCGGGGATCGTTTCATATCATTATAGAAAATCACATTAAATGAAAGATGCATATTGTTTAATTTTGGAAAAGTGTACAGATTTGTGGGGAAGAAGAAGAGAGGTGAGAGAGATTCTTAGCATCAATATGAAAAGTGCAAAAGTAAGAAAAAACCCTAATTTGGCTATTTATAGTAAGTCTAACATAACGTAGATTGCTATTTGACACATAAAGTGTGTTTTATCAAAGAGACTACAAAATACAACATTATACTCTAATATCCCCTACAAGAGGAACATGAATGTTGATAATGTTCTTCTTGAAAATGTAGTGTTGAAAATGTTGTGGTCAAAGTGCTTTTTTGAGGACATCAGCCACTTGTTCTTCAGAAGGCACAAACTGTAGAGAGACCACTTCTTGGAACAACTTCTCTCTAATCAAATGACAGTCTATCCTATGTGTTTTGTCCTCTCATAGTGGACTGGGTTCTTAGCTTCTGAAAGAAGTAAAACATGATAAGAATGAGCAATGTTTATATCATGAAGTACGAATATGAGCCACCCATTGAACTTCAAGAGTAGTGAGAGTCAAGGCCCTATATTTTGCTTTTGCAGAAGACCTGGTGATAGTGGGTTACTTTTTGGATTTTCATGAAATAAGAGAAATTCACAGAAAGAAGGCATTACCAGTAATGCTTCTTCTAATATCAACACACTCAGCCCAATCACTATCACTTTACCCTTTAAGTTAAGTCTGAATGCCTTGAATAAAGAATACCTTGACCAGTTGTAGCTTTTAAATTCCTGAGTACTCTATTTGTTGTAGATATGTGTTGTTGTTTTGGATAGGAAATGTATTGACTCAATGATTTAACACTATGAGTTAAATAGGGTCTTGTGATGGTCAAGTATAAAAGTCTACCTACCAGTCTTCTATATGCAAAAATATCTACATTAACAGAGTTTGTGCTATTATCAAGAGTTGTTAATTTTAAGTTTGGAACCATGGGTGTAGATGCAGGTAGACATGGCCAACTGTAGGGCCGGTTTAATGAACCAACGGTTCATTGAACCCCCAGTTTTCTTTAATAAAAAAAAAATTGTCAACCGGTTTTTCTACCCGGAACTGGCGGGTTAAAAAACACCAAAACCCGGAATCGGCCTGTATTGCCACGAGCCCGGTTCAAGGACCTGTACATACGGTCAGTTTCAGGCCATTTTAGGGTCGGTTCTAAACCGGGTTGCAGGTCCGGGTCGACCCAAGCCACCTTTAGAAGCAGGCTTACAATCCAAGAAGTCGATGCCTTTCAAAATGTCTAATGCATATTTTCTTTGGCAAAGATGGGTACCCTTATCAGAATGAGCTACTTCAAGTCCAAGTATATATTTAAGGATTCTTAAAATTTTAATGGTGAAAAAATCATCAAAATGTTCAATGGCAATAATAGCATAAAAAATGTTCCAAGTGGCTATTATATCATCTACATAAACAAGCTAAACAAGAATGAAGACAAACGTAGAATTAGATAAATAAAGAGCAATCAGAAGTACATTGTTTGAAACCATGGCTTAGTAAAAAATAAGTTAATTTGTGAAACAATTGCCTTGAAACTCTTTGTTAGTTTGCAAACTCTAGAATCAATTTCATCCAAGTATCCTGGGGGAGGAAGCATAGCGTGGAAGACAATCTATGTCGAAAGAAGTCAGGTTGGTTGCACGATTAGACCGTCTAATAAGGCAGACAAATGGATAATATGAAATAAATAGGATAAGAACTATGCGGGGATTGGACCACGTGGCCTAAAAAAATGGGGCAGTTCGGTTAGTCTTAGGCAACAAGGCAATACCCCTATAGGTATGTTAATTTATACTTACACACTCTAATATACTTACAAGCTTATATATCTACTGTTCATCATCTTCATCACTGTGGAGTAACTTGATCGTCGAAGTGCTAAAGTCGGGAACACCTCCCGTCCCATTTTGCAGGTCTTTGAACCGAACAGAGCGAATTCAAGGTTGTTCTACCCTGTCGAGGTCGTTTGTACACCATTTGTTAATTGAGAGTTAAACTATATAGATAAACATAGTTTGAAGAATTAAGGATACACAAGAATGAAATAAAAAAATAAAAAAAATGAAAAAAAGAAGTTAATTAAGAGATTGTATCGTAAGATATAAATTCAAGAAATTATGTTTGAACCTGATAAGAAAAGAAAACTATTTTTTCAAAATATAATAATGTTCAAAATTAGTCTTTTGATAACTGTTAGGGTTTAGGGTTTAGAAAGATTGTAAAATCTTTTTTCTGGGATTATGGGAAGACTGCGAAAATGGCCTATTGTTCGCACATCTGCAACATCGTGTAAGATAGATTTTTTTATTTTCTTTAGTTATGTCATTCCTATGCGACTGATCACATACATTACGTATTTTTACTTTGATTATGCGAATCGCATATCATGTCACATAATAATCGCACAACTAGGTAACGACATCGTAATGTCTTATTTAGACAACGGCGTTTGAACTTACGAACAAACTAAAAAAAATGCATGTATAAGAAATAACTCAAATAAAAAAAAGTGTCATAATTACAAATATGTTGGTGCAATTGTGTTAGTACTAAATGAATAAATAAAGTTATTGAGCAATTATCGCTCCTCTTCCTCTTCATCCACGGCTTTGTAGTCTTTTTAAGAGGCAACTTCCCAGCGCATCCCAAACCATATATAGAGCGCATAAACCACATGTTGTAGAGTCATCCTGCTACAGTACACTTGAATAATTGGACACCATGATGTTCAAAGAACTGGCATTCCACCCCCTCCAGCCCCGTATACAGTGCAATTAGTAGAACTAATTCCTGAAATGATCATAGTGCTCTAATGCTACTTTGTAGAATGTGCTTATTCTCTTCAATTTCATAATATTTTTGTAGGGGGTCAAGCACATCTATCATGTTCTTTTCTAGAAAGATATGGACAATTACGAAGTGACCCACCACATTCACGACTCCAAAAATATGTACCTTTAGAGAACAAAATTGTACTATTAACGTATCGGAATCACTATTTAAGACTTTAATAAGCCCCCAACTCAACCGATTCCAGTATTTAATCTGCCCTCAACCCTACCGATTCCCCCAACCGATAACCCTCTCTTTCGCATCGCAAATCGAAAAGTCGAGAGCAAGTGGGTTCAAGTCCGCCAGGAGCTCCCCTTCTTCTCAACCTCTGTAACCAACTCCTTCATAGTCTCCTACACATTAGAATAATACTACTACTAATATTATTATAAAAAGAGAACTGACAAATGAGGAAATGGCTAAAATAAACTCACAAAATTAATCGACACGAAGGTATAAGTGCCCAACAATTCTTCCTTTAGCTTAACCCTCCAAAAGAGAGGATCGCTTTGCAAAATCCTTAGATAACCATCCACGTGTTGTTTTACAAAACCAAAACAAATATCATCCATCAACCCCGATATAGCCATAATATGTTGACTGAATTGTTACAAGTGTAAGGAAGTGGACTAAGTGGAAAGACGACCTAAGCATGTCGTCTTTAATAAAGACTAACGATGACAAGACGACCTCGAGAATAAGATGACTAAGTAGCTTAAGACAACCGCCTAGAAAACCCTTAAAGATGACTTGAGGGGGCAATGACTTGAGGAAAGAAGACGACCTAACCTTTACAAAAAGTGTCAGGTGAATTGACCTTCTAGAGGGTATAATACGGCTCAACCTCTAGAACACTGACTAAATTCATTCAATAGCTCGAGGTAGACCATCAGATCATGGATTAGGTGGTCTCAAGAAGAGCCATGACCTAAGGCCATCAGATAACAAGGATAAGAAAAAATCTAAAGGTTACTAGGAGATGCTAAGAGATGATAAGGATATGGATAAGAGTCAAATTCGGGCAGCCAGGCAGGCTGCTCGCGGGCACCCGAGCAAAGCATTTCGGGTAGGTATTTCCCTATAAAAGGGACTAAGGTATCACCAAACCCTTTTTTTTTTTAAAAACATTCTCTACACATTATATGATGCTATTATTAGAGAACACCATCATCATCTTCCTACCACCGACTTAAGCATCACATGCTCTTTGCTGAAATCTCTTATGACGTTGAGTTCTTGTAGGTACACATGTGGCGGTTCAGGCAGATCGGAATTCATCTCAATCGGTTTTACCAGATCTGAGTAGTGACCCATCAAACACACTAAAATATTTATACATCAAGATATTACAAGAAAAACATATACATAACTCGTTGTCTTCTCCTTCTCTAGATCTTGCAACGAGGAAAACTTGTCCTTATTCACCCTATAAATTTAGACAACATTCTGCTTATTTTAATAATAATCTATTTTTTAAATATGTATATGCTCATTGGATATATACATCAATCTCGCTAAATACATATATATATATATATATAATGTTTTTTATAAATATAAATATGACATCTTCGGATGCCATAAAATTCTTAAACGTCCTCTTATATTTGGCATTGGCATACCGTCTAATCTCCATGGGTTGAAATGGGCTTCTAATACCACGTCTTAATTATCTTATTCGATCAACTCTATTTGACAAATTTGTGGACGGTTGAGGAGAAGTGGACAGATGAACTTGCTGAAGACAACGGGGCGACGAACTATTGATGAGAGGGTGCCAGATGTCGAGGAGGGGTCGACTGTTGTCTCAGTGTGGGTGGGGGTCTGCCATAGGGGAGATGAGGGGTCAGATGTCTCAGTGTGGGTTGGGCTCTACTATCAGAGAGGGGTGGAGGGGTTGGCTGTCTCAAGGTCGACTGTTGGGGAGAGGGGGAGGTGCTGTCTATCTCATCCTCGGTTGGGCTTGGTTGTTGGGGAGAGGAGGAGGGATTGGTTGTCTCAGGGTCGACTGTTGGGGAGGGAAAGAGGTGTTGGCTATCTTATCCTCGGTTGAAGGTTATTTTTTTATCGAGTCGATATATTTTATACCTCAAAAGGTGAATTTACAGTGAGTGACTCGGGCAGCTACAAGCCTAATGAATCCACCTAGAAAGTGGATAGGGCACTCTAGACACACAACATTAACCACATGAATAACGTCCATGCACCCCCGACAACACTTTCATAAGTTGAACCCGACTAGCTGGTAACCCCATCCCAACAAAAAACAAAATCTAACACTCCCACATAAGAGAATAGCTAACTCTAACAAAGAGAATAACAAACTCCACGAGTGGAGAAACACATCTAAACTACAACAAAAATATACACCTACACTTCAATAGAACAACAACTCCCCATTTACACGCGGGCACCCAACAACAACGACCAAAGCCAGCAAACGAACTATTGTCCCAAAACCACCGAAACCCCCAGACCGAGAGCAAAGGGAGTAACAGAGGGAGGCCCCAAAACAACAAACTCCACGGAAATGGCTAGTCGGATCGGGCAAGGAGGAAACCTCAGCCCATATCTGCGCTCTCTAAACAATCGACCGAGTGAAGACGCCTAGGGAAACGACTCAGCAATACACACCCGTGGAGCACAACTAGAAGCCTAGTGGGTGCTACACCACACGTCCGCGCACATGCGGACACTGAAAGGGAAAACGACAGGCCAAAGGGGGCTCCAACGGTCGACTAGGGGCAGAAGGCAACGTGGAAGGGCCGTGCCCAACCCAGGCCAGAGAAAGAGGCTGCAGGCCCGAGCTGACGCCATCGTTCTTTAAGTATAAGGATTGAGAAAAAAAAGGCCTCTGACCTTCGGCTAGCTTGGAACGGCGCAACTGCTATGCCAACAGGAAGGAGGGGGGGCGGCGCAACAGACCGAGAAGAACCCTAGGCGAGCGAATTGGGCGAGGATGAGAGATAAAGGTTTAGGAAATAAAAATAAATAAAATTGAGCGTGAATACAATTCATCTACTACTAATGTTACATTTATACAAGTATCTTTATATGTAATAGTAAAAATCTTTATTATGCTTTTATTATCTATGTACATGTTCATATGAAGAATTATTTATTTCAATTATAAAAAATTTAAAAAAAATTTTTAACATTAGGTCGTGCAACGCGCTGGTGCTGTACTAGTCACCTTATTAATCCACGTGGTGAATTTTGAGGGGTGTAAATAACTCTTGTTTTATTTTTATAGCAATGGGTCGTTTTAATTGATGGTCCTACTCTACTTCCCACTTGGTAGTCCTCGCTGTCTGTGAAGCTGCATTTGGCTTTCTTCCCAACTGACCAATCACCTTCTCTTTCTCTCTCTCTCTCTCTCTCTCTCTTTTTCTTCTTTAATTAATATTTTCCTTTCTATCTCCACCCCACCTAGTTTCTCTGTCATCAAGCACCCCATTTGACTCTGCCTCTGTGCGTGTGAGATTTTGCTTGTGCCCCTTCTCCTGATTGTTGAAATCGTAATCTGGGGATTGGAAAAAGGAGCAATCTTTATCGAGCTGAACCCCTTTTCTGAACTATTTTTTAACGGTGGAGGTGTGAATTCTTCTTGTATTTTGTAATAATTTGCGTCAGCGTTCTGTTAAATTAAGGATTCTGCTTGCTGTTGTTTACCAAGTGAAATTGAATCGGTATTTTCTCGGTGCTCATGGGTTCTGCTTGAAATCCTTGAATTTTGACCCAAAAGGGTAGTTCAGGGACCACCATATATGTATATATTTCCACTTCTTACTGAGTTCTGACTTGCATTTGGCGATTTTATAATCCTAACTTGGATTAAGATACGATGGGGAGGCTTATGTGGTGGTTCTTGATGCTCTAGCATTGGCTACTTGATAAATTAAGGAGAAAAAAGAGATGAAAAATTTCCTCAGAAAACTTCACATAGGATCCAGCCACTCTGAGGATTCAGAAGGTCCCACCTCATTATCATCATCATCATCAAAGGGTAGTAATAGCAGGTTGAGTGATGGCTCACCAAGCGTGAGGCTTTCGGTTTCCAAATCCGATCATCATAATAAACCCTTTTCGGCTATTTCTGGATGGTTAAATTCTGTCGCAAAGAGAGATAATCCAAGCCCACCGTCTTGTGCTAACGTGAATAGACGTGAGAAAATAATGGAGCCTTCCGATTCGGGGGGGAGTAGTAGTTTGGATGCCGCTTTAGATGTAGTGAGGCATGATTCGGGGTCCAACAACTCAAGGGATCACGATATAGAGGAGGAGTATCAAATTCAGTTGGCCTTGGAGTTGAGTGCGAAGGAGGATCCTGAGGCCGTTCAGATTGAGGCTGTGAAACAGATTAGTTTGGGATCTTGCACGTCTGAAAACACACCGGCTGAGGTTGTGGCGTACAGATATTGGGTAAAGTTGTTTTTCCTTTGTTCTTTTATTTTTCAAGTTATTTATTTATTTTGCTATTAGTATAATGTGCTTTGTAACTATTGGTTGAATGTGTAGTTGGTATAGTGACTCATGAATGTGTAATGAATTAGGTCTGAATTTAGCATTGATTTATATGTCTTGTGTAGTTTGTTTGCTAACATATTCACGGTGTCAAGTGCTTGTGCTGTTACTGATTAATATTTTTTTTTTCCTTGATCGGTTTCTAGATTTTGGGCCTTTGGATGTTGTAGCGCTCCTTGGTTAATGCTAGGGATTTAGGAAGTTGAATAAACTTATGCTCGAGGACTTTAACAGGCTTAGTTCTGGTTATTAAGTTGAATATGAATATTATTCATTTATAGGTGAGGTGGAGCTACAGATGTAGATGATACAAATGAGACATTTTTAAGAAGTAGACATCATGCTGAATCCTTTGGATAAGTTTTTTTCGCATGGTACAGGAAATCAAGTTATATTTCAACAAATCCTGTAAGGTTTGGAATGCAAATTGGTTTAATGTCTTCTATTTCATTTGCGACTGGGTGGTCGAAATTGGAATATTCATCTTGAGACTCAAATAGACGCCTGATGGAATTATGACATCTTCTGAAGTATGAATCATTGTTTTACCAAGAGCATAATATATATGAGCTAACCTAACCGTCCTCAGCTGCTGAAAACACTCATATCCAGCTAATGAAATTCATATTTTAATGTTTAATGCAGGATGTGCTAGTGAGACACAAACTGCCCAGAATAATTTTATTCGATCATAAGAACTAAAAATGCCCCAGGTGTTAAGAAAGCAATTCATAGATATCTCAATCATTTGATGTTTAGACAATTGAGTTGATTTTCATGGTAATGATGATAGGCCCAGCTTTTCCCACTTTAGAGCGCAAAAGACTTCTTATAATGCTGTGAAGCTAAATTGATATATCTCACAGTGAGGATTACGATATATATATATATATATACATATTATATATATACACACACACAAGCCAAAGGAAGTGTAAGAAAGGAAAATAATATAAAAAATAGTCTACCGATTCACCATATAATTGATATAATCTAATCTATACCATATTTACTGTAACACTCCACTCCACCTCAAGCTGGAACATATATATCAATTATGCCCAGCTGGACAAATATTTTTCATTCACTGCTTTTGTAAATATGTCCCGAAACTGATCCTCGGACATAACATATCCTGTAATGACGAAACCTTTTTCGACCTTATCACGAACGAAGTAGAAATCTATCTCGATGTGTTTGGTTCTTTCATGAAATACAGGATATGATGCTTTGTGGTTGTTGCTTAATTGTCACATCCAAGTGTTGCTAGGAGAGCAAATTCTAATCCATGCTCTGTATCCATACAATTTCTCATACTGAATTGGCCATCGATCAACAAGAAACAACATTTTGCTTCTTGTTTCTCCACAAAACTAGATTTCCTCCCACAAATGTACAATATCCACAAGTCGATCTTCTATCATCCTTGCACCCTGCGTAAAAAAAAAAAAAA